TTTATTTATTTATTTATTTAGTGGAGGTACTGGGGATTGAACCCAGGACCTCGTGCATGCTAAGCACATGCTCCACCGCTGAGCTATGTCCTTCCCCTATCATGTTCTTCCCAACAGCGCTCTCTTATTTGCCACCTCAGGAATGGTTTACCAAGGGGCTATCATAACATGTTTCCAGGGACAGAAATACTTTGTATGCATAAAAGAATAACACAGATTTGTTTTAGCAAGGAAAAAAGGATTATTTTCCCATGTAACCTCATTTGTTTAAGAGAACAAAGCAATGTCTTAGAGCATTAATACTCACCATTCTGCAACCTTGAATTATTCTCATAGCAGAGTGGTGAGAAACTTAAGTTACTGATGTTGCACTTTGACTACTTTGCACTTTGGATATTTGCCGTATTTGGATGTTTACTGCAACAAGATCCTTAGAGAGGGGGCTGGGTTTTACTTGTCTTTATATTCTATGACCCAGCATCAGACCCGGCACTTCTTGGACACTCAAATAAATATGTGTGGAACAAATGAATGTTTCATTGAATGCAGTTGTATGAACAAATGAAAGCTATATTATTTTATATTTAAACAGAGTATTTCTGTCATCTGACTGATACACAGTAACCCTGTTTGTGTGGGCAGTCTTGCAGGGGTAGAGGGATTTGAGGTGTGAGATCTGTATTTAGGGGATGCAACGTAATCACCTGCCCTTCACACTTTCCTCTTAGCTTTTGTTGTTTCTCATCTTTCTACTAGATTGTCAGCTCCTGAGGACAGACGCCATGGGTTAGTATATATTATTAGATGTCACCACATATAATTTCTCAGTGCTTGTGACATTGTCGATATTCAGTAAATATTGATTGAATGGATGAATACGGTAGCAAAGGCAACTTGAAGCAAAGTTAGTGTTTTTGGATCTTTATATGATTTTGGAAATATAGCATCCTTTGTCCCTTCTTGTCTTCTTTGCTTTATGTCTGTCTCCTTCATAGCTCTTCCACTGATCCTACCCTTGGATTTATTGTTCTTTAATCTCATCCCTATGAATGCCACATGATTTGTGGGAAAGGATTAAGGCTTTAAAATTAAACAGACCTGGATTTAAGTTCTGAATTAATAACTTACTGGTTGTGTGATCTTGAGCAAGGCACAGAACCACTTGGTGCCTGTTTCATCTGTGAAGGTGAGGGATTGTGAGTCATCTACCTGGCAGAGCTGTTTAGAGAACAGATCGGACTGATGAATGTAACATAGCTACTCATAACAGGGGCCCTATAAATAGTAAGTGTTATTACTTTCCTTATTTCCATTCTCTTTACTCTGTCACTATTTATCCTAATCATTCCTTCCTTTTCCAATCAGAAATCATGCATCTGTTAGCAGATGCTATCTGTTAGCAGCCGCTGGATTGCTGGGAGTTGCTGGGGAATGGAATACTATGAAATATCTAACTTTTACTTCTTCGAGAACCTTATATCCCATCACTTTGAACATTGATAAACGCCTTAATCGGAATAACCACTATTTGCCCCATTAAAATAATACAAAGATAAATGTGAGTTTTCAGAAAACTCAAATTGTAAAGCAAAGAATTGGAGAGTTAAATGACATGTGAAGACCATAAAGACCTAGCATATATTTAAATTTATGATTTTTTATTCTCTCTCTCTCCCTCCATTTATTACAACAGATTCTAAAAGATTGCCCTCACAACAAGACCATAATCCTGAGTAGATTTAAGGACTATTTACCAGTTTATTTTCTTGAAATAATTGAGTTTGCTGAAATAAACTATTCAGCTCAATATTTTTCATCTCCCTCTAATACAAATGTATTTGATTCCTATAAATCTGAGTGAGGTCAGTTGAGATTTTATACATATTTCTTTCCACTGGGTATATGAGCTATTAAGTCATGTTGCATTTATTATAGCTCATGTTTGCTATTTGGCAAGATAATACGAATGACTGAGAACAATATTTTAGTCCATGTAGCACTAGGAAAGCAACCACAAAGGAGAACTGAAGCAGGAAGTTCCTTACGATAAATACTTTAAGTAAATAAAATATTCTATTGTGATTCAAGCATACATTTACATATAAACTACAAAAAATCATTTTATATTATGCATACTGTTCATTCTTATGGTTCATTTATGTATGAATCTATGAATCATATATAAGGATATATACTCATATGAATATGTATACAGATACATGTATTTCTTTCATCTGAGTATATATCTGCATCACTTAGTCTTTTCACCTGGTTCTCATGTCATATGTGCACATATTCCCATTGTATCTTTCTTCCAGCCTCAAACATGTGGGTGTTTTCTTGGCTTTGCATCATTTTAATTATTTTGGCTATTGCTGGTATGGACACAATAGCAAAGACCACCCCGTATACCAGATTTACGAAGAAATCCGAGGGAAAAGAGATGCCAAAGGGCCCGAAGCCATCCAGTGGGAAACTTCCGGAAGAAGAACTGCCCTTCACAGAAGTGGCTGAAATGGCAGAACCAAGCCCAGAGCCCTTTGGTGCTGCCACACTCTTCCCCGTTGAAAACCTCACTCTTGATACGGCTGATTTCTTCTTGAATTGCTGTGATTGTTGTTCATCCATACCAGGGCAGAAAGGAGAACATGGAGAGACCGGAAAGCCAGGTATTTGAAAATGCACAAAACCCTATTTCTCACTGGTGCATCCTTAGAGTTGAGAGGTGGTGAACTGGTGATGGAATTGCCCCAGGGGTTCTACATTGTCATCGGAATAGGACAAGCTGTGTATAACATTGTGACGCACTCACATGGGCTCTGTTGCCCAGTGTGGTAGCCATAGCTATGTGTGTGACTATTAATAAATATTAAGATTAAAGGAGATTAAAAAATTCAATTCTTCAGTCACATTAGCCACAGTTCAAGTGCCCAGTAGCCGCGCATGGCCAGTGGCTACCGTATGGGGCAGCGCAGACCACAGAGCATTGATATCATTGCAGAAAGTTCTACAGGATGGTGCTGATAAGAGCAGAGACCAGGCCCAACACTGGTTGGTAGGTCTTCCAATTACACAGTCTTTTCATTAACGGCTAATGTAGAAAGGGTAAATGAAAATTCTGTGATCTGTTAAGGGTGGGTGCTGACTGATGAATTTTTGGGAGTGCAATTTGTAGTTAGGATAAGAAATGGGAAGTCTGTGAGGTGGAGAATCAAGGCAGGATTCAGTTTGCTTCTCATTGAAATTCTGAGGTGACACTGTATCCTTGCCTAGCAATTTTCTCCATTGAACATCATGGTTAAATATTCCAAAATTTCAGATGTCTTTAATGAATACACTCTCACTTTTATTGTAATACATTCCAGTTTTCACATGTCCTGCAGCAGAGAATTCAAGGTAGAAGTGAGATCAGAATGTCAATTTCAAATCCACGCTTCCCTGAAAAAAAAAATTACACGTAAATATTTGTCTTGCCGGAAGAATTTAAAGTTATAAAATCAGGAGTTCTGTATCCTTATTAAGGGTTTTCATTCATTTCATATGGCAGGAACCTTTTGGGAAATGTGATCACTGTTTATGCAGAGGTGAAATTGAAGGGTAAAAGAGTACCAAGATTTCATGGTTGCCAAAACATTTTTGGAAATCTAATGAGACTGAGACAATTACATGCACCAGGATTTCTCTTAGTATCATGTCTGGCTGGCAGGCTGCTTGGGGGTACCGGGAGGCGGTCAAGTAAACACAACTGCTTGCTAAATTGTCTTCCAAGGCTGTGGGTCTGGGACATCAGGGCATTTGTTTTACATGTTGGTGGAGCTAGCTGGGCTGTTCTCAGAGCTCAGCCTCTTCTCTAATATTTTTGAAGATGTGCCAAGTTGTCAGCCTGCCTGGGGCACTCCTATGTCTTGGTCTGACTGGTTCTGCTGTGGGGCAGAGTGTTGGAGACTTCAAAATATTAAGTCTATCATGGTCCTACCTTGAGGAAGCTTCATTCCCTCTCTAAGTCTCAGTTTCCCAAATAGTAAAACGAGAGAAGAATAAAACCAGCTTCATGGAATTGTCAATAGAGCTGAATGAGATCACACGTATGTGGTCTCAGTGTGGTGCCTGGAAGAGGATAAATGCTTAATAAACTGTGTTTGTTTTTCCTGTTGGCTGTAGGAGGAGTCTTTTCCTACCTTGTGAGATACTCTGAAGCTGATAGGATCCTGGTTCTATGGTTCATAGATATTTGTTCTGGCTTTACCAGTGTTTCAAAAGCACTGTTTTAAATTAAAAAGCTAACATAAGAGCAACACTAAACAAACTTGAAAATGCAAATGAACCTGCTCAAACCAAACTATTTGTTTTTCTTTGTTATTTTTTAGTTTTTGGCCCTATGAACACACACACACATTGCATACATCACATTTGTATTATCTATTGTAATGTAGAGAATAAATCTAGACTTGAAAAGCCACAAGCCTAATTTTATAGTTTCTAAATAAAAGTGTTTTGAAGTCTGCAGACATTTCTAATAGCTCACAAAGGTGAAATTCCTTTTGAAATTTTATCTCCAGCTTCTCTCATTAGTTCAGTTATAATAATAGCTACCTACTATGTGCCAAGAACTGTTAAGCACTTTCGTTGTTTCTAATTTTAATAGACAATGTCAAAAATGTTACTACATGTCACTGGATGATTTAATTGTGTTTCAGAGAGTTTTAGGTAATTCTAGAGGTTGTACCACTTGAGAAGGGTAGAACCTGGAGTCAAACTCCATTTGTGCACCTTTAAGCCCCTGCTTTTCCATGAGGTCCAGCCTGCCAGTATTTACACTAAACTAACCAAGATGTACATCTTGCCTACATGTAAGGGGCAGCCTCCCTGCCCCTGGTGTCCTCACAGGTGGTTGCTGTGTGCTCTGTGTGCCAAGCTGGGCACTGCCCTTTATGATTTCCCTTGTAACAACATCAGGCATTTGGGGATCACGAGGAAGGTGGGACATACGCAGTGAACTG